TGCCTTTAAAAGTGAGATGAAACTAGAAAAACCACATTTATGAAGGGAAGCTAACGAATATCAAAGGAAAAAATAAATACCTGGAGAAACAGTCTGATATTTTGCGTGATAAAAACACACACAAACATTATGAGATATAGAGAATTTCGCCCGTTTAGGTCGTAAATAAAAAAATTTTGAATGTCCAATTTTCACAGACAGATCATTTTCATATTGTTTTTTGAATAATTCATAGGCTTCGGAGATAGACATTATCAAAAATCGACATGCTTTTCTTATTTTGTCGCCATTCAGCAGTTTGACACCGATAGTATCTTTTTTATTTGATGACTGACGACTAATAGTGTCGTCTTCATAAAAAAACAAAACTTTTGCTATCGTAGCGTCAGAAATTTTCGCACGATTTTGTCTATAAAGTGACGGCAGAGAGATGTTAAATACGCCTAACTGTAAATAAAGATTTTGACTTACAGTGGAAGATCAATAGCAAGAAGACCATATGTTGAGCGAATATCCATAGCTGAACGAGCTTGCCACTCCGTACCGCCAAAAAATTCAGCCATATGACGTCGGCTCCATTGCATGGGACATATTGTAAGTAGACGAGTTTGTTCCTCATAATCACTTCGTATAAACAACTCCTTTAGTCCCGCTATCAGAATGTTCATGTCAAGAAGACTAATTGAAGAATTATTAGATGTTGAAGATGAATGCGTCGTCTGATCGAAACTTTCCGTCAAAGATTTTACATGGGAAAGGAGAGAATTTGTTTTATGTTCCAAAACATTGGTACAGCGTCTACGCGAAAGAACATCATTCGTTGTCAAAACTTACACAAGGAAAGAGCAAATACTTACAGATCAGTAACAGGAGATGATCCTACAATTTCTAATAAAGAATTTAGTGTTTGTCTTCTGTGAAAAGGTAAATGCTGAACTTCTTCTTCACATGGAGATGAGATATTTTCCGCGTTCCGTGGTGACGAATGATACAGCGGACTATAATTTAGAGGAAATAAAATACTTGAATCATAACGGATAGGTGATTGAGAGACAGGTACAAGGCAGTTTGTTTCAGTAGGCGACGACATAAACATAAATCATTTCATTAGAAGAAAACGCGTCTGAACGCGTTTTAAAAATACGCAAAAAGTCGGGCGAAAGCATGTTCGATTAAAACAAAACGCGTTTCAACGCGTTTTTTTGTTTTAAATATTTTCATGAGTATGATGACAAAACAAAAGAAAAAACCAGAGCACCAAAGCACCAACGGAGTAGGATGATGGATAGATGGTGCTACAAAGCTCCAAAGCGCCCAAGAACTACAGCATCAAAGCACTCGGGCACCAAAGCAGCAAGATATCAGATGAATTGTGCAACTTCGGACGATTTCTCACCACAGCCCTAAAGCACCGGAGCACCAAAGCATCAACGCAGTACGATGTCAGATGGATGGCGCAAGGTAACAACTTCGTACTACTGCGCAGCAGAGCGCTAAAGTCCTACAGCACCAAAGCACGGAAGCAGCAAGATATTAGATGAATGGTGCAATGTTACGATATCGTACACCACTAAACGAGCAGAGCAGCAACGAACCATAAGACCAACCGGGATAGCTATCTGATGAACGCAAAGCACGAAAGCACCAAAGCATTAAAGGAATAAAGCTTTACAGCACATAAGTAGGAACGCAGTATGATAACAGATAAATGGTGCAGTGTTGCAATTTCCTCCTGTTTCACACCACAACACCTAACATCCACCTGATGCAAGGTCGAAAGCGCTCGTGGTAGCTTAAGTAGCGAATAACTCTAACAACAACCAAGTTGTAGCGAGAAGTCTAAGTATCTAAACGTGATAAAACCAAACAGCGCAATTATATTGTATAATGAAGTCTTGGGTCATACAAACGAAATGTCCGGCTGAGCGGCCAGTAGAGAAGTTACACTTCAGCGTAAGTTGTCGACATATTCGTACTCGAGGAGCAAAAGCAGGTAATTACTAGTTTTCTCAGCAGCGAGACATCCTCGATGTGCGAGCTCGGAATAAAAAATGTCAGCAATAAAATTTCACATATTTTATCTGCTTCACCAGTTTCGTTAATTAGTGAGAAAAACGCTAATCTTTCATAATTAGTATTTCTTACCATGAAGCAAGCATCTGAGAAATTTGGCTCCGCAATCAAAAATGTTAGAAATTGAATTACACATATTTTATCTGCTGACATGGGCTTCGTTGCGATCTGCAATGACGGACTGTTGCATATTTATTCCGTTGGCTGAAGGTCTTGGGTCATACAAACGAAATGTCCGTCCGATCGACCGTCAGCGGCAGAATAGTGACACCTGACGCCACTCGATCTGCAGTGATGGACTGTTGGATATTTATTCCCTTGACTGAAAGTCATACAAGCGAAATGTCCGAGCGACCGACTGTAGAGTGTAAAATGCTCCCCCTCCCCTTTTCTCTTTGTCATCGAGAATAAATAAATAAATTGTAAATAGAAAATTTGGTTATAAAAGCTCCTGTTACTTGACTACATTTTAACAGAACTTCAGACTCTTCCTGAATATTTCTGTTTG